AGCCCTGGGTTGGTGTTTGTGATTGGCCCACCACGCGGTGACCTGAAGAGCTGGTTTTCTTGGAGGAGCACAGCAAAGACAGAGGAAGAGCTTGATGAATTCAAATCACCTGGTCCAGCTGGACTCCATCCTCTAGCACAGAAAGAAATGACAGAGTCTATTGGGAACCATTCACAATGATCTTGAAACATCAGGTTCTCTGGGATGAAAGACAGTGAAATGTTACCACAGTTTCCAAAAGAGGGGAAGAACAGAATCTTCATGTGATGGGCCAATGAGCTTGACTTCATTCAACCAAGGGACTGGAGGGGCGACTGACATGCCCCTGAGACTAGTTTGTGACAGGGGATATATACATACAAATATATATATATGTGTGTGTGTGTGTGTGTGTGTGTGTGTGTGTGTGTGTGTGTGTGTATGTATATGTGTATGTATGTATACACATATATACACACATACATACATGTACATGTATGAATATAGAGAGATATCAAAGATGTATACATATACATCTAGAAGGCTACTTTGTATGTAGTAGGTCCTCATTAAATGTTTGTTGATTAAACAAATTGGGAGAGTCTTTATTTTGAAGCACTGCTTATCTGTCCATACTGGTAAGGATAGAATGGCAGTCTAGGATTTCTCCCCTTACTGCGGTCAACAAAGGTGGTCATAGTACTGCATGTATTAAATGCTTACAAATTACCAGGATGTGAAAAGACAAAAAATGAAACCGTCCATGATTTCAAAGAGCTTATATTTTGTCTGTGAAAATAACATGAATATGTTTAGAATCACAGCTTTCTTTTAAATGGAAAGAATCTCAGTGACCCTCAAGTCCAACCCCCTCATTTTACAGATGAGGAAACTGAGGTTCAGGGAATTGGAATAACTTGCCTAGGTCATACAGATGCAGAATTTGAGCTCAGATTTTCTGGCTTGAGGGAAGCTAGAAGTCACAGTGTTTGAGGGCTGGGCCTAGAGTCAGGAAGACCACATTTCAAAACTAGTTTCAGACACTTACTAGCTGTATGGCCCTGGAGAAGTCACTTCACCCTGTTTGCCTCAATTTACTCACCTGTAAAATGAGCTAGAGAAGGAAATTGCAAACCATTCTAGTGTCTTTGCCAAGAAAATGCCAAATGAGTTCACAAGGAAACAGACACAACTAAACAACAACAAAAACCCTCTGACTTGAGGTAGATGGCCCAGTGAGTAGAGGACTAGGTCAACAGTCAGGAAGGCCTGAGCTCAAATCTGGTTTCAGACACTTGCTAGCTATGGTCCCTGGAAAGTCACTTAACTTATGTTTGTCTCAGTTTGCCTCAGTGGGGATACTAACCGATGATAATAACAATAATAAAATGGGGATAATAAGCTCCTATCTCCCAGGGTTCTTGTGAGGATCAAACGAGATATTTATAAAGTACTTAGTATGATCCCTGGCACATAGTAGGCTCTACATAAATGTTAGCTATTATTATCATTATTATTATATCATACCAGCTTTATCTAAACCACATATGAGATGCAGTTTTTTGGCAGTGAAGATTAGGTGGGAGAGGGAAGAGACCAAGAAAGGCCTGATGTAGAAGGTGGTACTTGAACCAAACATTATGGGAAACTGCAACTCTAGAGCCGGGCAAACAGATCTTATACTGGGTGCTGGAAACACAGTTGTTTTGAGACTCTATATTACCTAAAGAGGTGGGAAGGAATGTGGGGGAACTGGTTAAGATTTGCTCCATGGATGTCTTCCTCCTCCTTGATGATCTTTAATCCCACAGTGAACTTATTCTGTGGCCAGGTTCTCTCCCAGACTCCAATTTGACTTAGGGTTTTGTTCACTGATGATGATGACAGTGGTTACTGGTTGACTCTCAAATATTGTGACCAGCTCTGGGGCCATCTCTCCACTGGAAGAAATGACCAGGATTCCAGGGACTACAAAGGTCAAGAAGTTGGAAGTGGAAATGACCTCAAATGTCAGGAGAATGGCTTCTGAGATTCAGGTCCTTGAGAAAAACAAATGAAGGGACAAAGTCCTTTCTTTGGTGATCATTCTTACTTTTCTATGTGCCCTAGCAGGGGAGGCTATAGGAGGAGGAGAAAACCTTAGTCTGATCTACTTCTTCCCCCTCACCAACCATCTCTCCCTCTTCCCCCACCTTGCATGAAGCATCCATCACTCTCCCCAAAGTCTTCGTGACTTGAGGTGAGAACATTTCAGTCCAGAGAAGTATAGACACAAACTCCATGAGCTCTAACTCTTGGTGTATGTCACCAATGCTCCCTGAGCATTGTTACCATACGTTAATCCAGTATTTTTTTTTTTATTAATTTATTTTGATTTGTCAGCAATTACTTCCCCAAGCTTTTGAGCTTTAAATTTTTCTACATCTTCTTCTCTACCTCCTTCCCCAAAACAGCACATAATCTGATATAGGCTATATATATATATATATATATATATATATATATATATATATATATATATTTCTATTAAACATATTTTCACATTAGTCATGTAGTAAGGAAGAATTAGAACCAATAGAAGGAGCCACGAGAAAGAAGAAACAAAACTAAACAGGAGAAAAAATAGCAAATACTGTGCTTTAATCTGCACTCAGACTCATAGCTCTTTCTCAGGATGTGGATAGCATTTTCCATCATGGGGCTTTTGGAGATGTCATAGATCAGTCATTGCTGAGAAGGGCAAAATCTATCAAAGTTAGTCATCACACAATGTGGCTGTTACTGTGTACAACATACGCATAATTCTGCTCACTTCACTCGGAATCAGTCCATATAAGTCTTTCCAGGTATTTCTGAAGTCTGCTTACTCATCATTTCTTATAGCACAATAGTATTCCATTATATTCACGTACCACAACTTGTTCAGGCATTCCCCAATTGATGGGCATCTCCTCAATTTCCAATACTTTGCCACCACAAAAAGAGCTGCTATAAATATTTTTGTACATATGGGTCCTTTCCCCACTTTTATGATCTCTTTGGGATACAGCCCGAGAAGTGCTATTGCTAATCCATTATTTCTTGAGAACCAACTGTTCACCCAGGACCAAGCTAACTACTGTGAGGAACACAAGAGGAAGAGAAGATCTGGTCAGCCTTTGTCCTTGAGGAGTCATGAGGAAAGAAATGATTCACAATTTTTGAAGTTAAAATAACTCCAGAGTAAACTGTGATACTACCTATAAAAATTCAAAGAATTAACCCAGTGAGATTTCAGCACACAGTTTTTACTTACTCTGATCTCATAATGGAAAAGTTCTGTGACCTTTGTCTGATAAAGGCATGCCCCAGATAGCATATAGGGAAGAGCTCCAAAGATTCTGCTAAAACCTTCACTCTAACTAGCCTTGCCAGAGTCATTCTCTCTTTTCTAGGCTAATTGGTGTCCTCTGATGAACTCAGGCAACATGGAGCATGTACTGGCTCAGGAGGCTTTCACAGGGACCTAGAAAAAATAAAGGATCACAAGTATACACCCATAGGGGAAACATCCAGTGATATCCTTGGACACCAGACCCTCTATAACTGCACTACTCTGCTATAAACAGGACTCCACAGGCTCACTCTTCTTTTATAGAATCCTAGACTTTTAGATGTAGAAAGAGCCTCAATTACCACCTAGACCAAGCCAAACTTGAAGAATAATCACAAACATAACACACTGGCAAGTGATCATTACCCCTCACTCCTACAAACTCACAAGAGAGTGGGTAGAACTTGTGTGAAGGATGGAATGTAGTGGGGAGAGACTTGAGGCAGAAAAATCAATGAGGAGGCTACTGCAGTGATCTAGGTGAGAGGTGGTAAGGGACTTTTTAAGGGTTGTGGGTATATGGAGGAGAGAAGAGGATTCATATGAGATGTAAAGAAGGTAGAAATGGCCAGTATTGACAACAGATTGGAGATGTAGGGTGAATGCCAGAGAGGAGTCAAGGATGACCTTGAGTCTGCCAGCTTGGGGGACTTGGAGACAGAAGTACCTTCTGCAGTAATAATGAGAGTGGGGACAGGGGAAGGTTTGGGAAGAAAGATAATTAAGTCTTCCTTGGACTCTGCAGAGTCAGTAGGTGGCTTTTTGACTGAATGTCCATGAGACATCTGCAATGACCCCACAGATTTTACACTGTATATGTTCATTCAGTCAACAAGAATTTAATAAGCACACGCTATGTGACTAGTGATGTGCTATACGCTGGTGATGCAGACTCAGAGTCAGGGATGAGCCAGGGTGGCACACCCCACAGTCACAATGGAGGCAGCCAGACATTCACATGGTGAGTCTACAAACACTAGGAGATGCCAGCTAACATTCAGTGCCCAAATCCTGGAAAAGAACCCAGCGGTCTGCAGGCCACATGGAGAGGAGATATAACTAATCATAGAGCACTGTCAAGAATGTCAACAAAGGCAGGGTGACTTCTCTGTCAATTCCTTAGACTGTTACTAGTGGTGTCACCCTGGGAAAGTTACTTAATCTCTCTCAACCTGTTTCCTTATCCGAAAAACAACAATAATAATAGTGCCTACCTTACAGCATTGTTGTGAAGATCATATGGGATAATAATATGTATAGAGTGCTTTGCCAACCTTAAAGAGCAACCTTAATAGCACACTTTCAGACTGGTAGCTCCATTAAAATCTGCCCCATGAAGTTAGGGGCTCCCTGAGGACATGGATTCTACCTCACCATTAGACCAGGGGATCCCTGAGGGCAGTGTGAGGAAAGGGGGAATGGGATCTTTTCCCTATAACTCTCCTCCAGAATGAAGTCTCCCGGGTGATCCTTTCAAATCTAAGAATTTCTAGGTTCAGTGAAAATTTGGAAGACAGCTGAGTGGTTATTGTTGAACCAGCCCATCTCTGAGCCTCTCAGACAGTACTTGGTGATGACTGTGCTCTGAGTTGCCCTCACTACAGACTTTGTTTCACTTCCTCTCTTATACCTTCTAGGCAGGGAAAGTTTCAGCTTCATAACAGACACAACTGGTGGTGACAAGAGGGAAGCAGGGCCTCAGAAGAGCCAGCTCTGGCAGGAGGCCTCAGTTCCCATTTAGGCAGTGCCTGGGACACAGGACGTGGGCCCAAAGCCTCCCTCAGTGGAAGCGTGGTTGACAAGAAAGCCACCTTCTGAAGATCATGGAGTGTCGGAGGAGGTGGAGATGGTTCTCTTCAGCCTGCTTTCTCATTCTGGTGGAATTTGCTTTGAGAGAGACCATGGCAGGTAAGACTAGCAGGAAAGAGGTCAGGTAGAGAGAGACCAAGGAGATTTGCATCTGATGGGAGAAATTCAGTGACTTTCCTCAAGGGGCTTCAGGTAACCCAGACAGTCAGTCAACAAGCCTTTATTGAACAATTTGGATGCTGCAGCCAACTAGTGCTCTAAGTGGTAGGGATACCAAAAAATATAAACCAAATAAAACCTGTCTTTGCCTCCAAGGAGCTCACAGTCTAATGGGGCAGACAGAAAGTAAATTGAAAGATGCCTACAGATACATACAGAATAGATGAAAGGGAGCTTTGGAGAGGAAAGCTCTGGCAATTGTGGGCACCAGCAAAGGCTTCCTGAAGATGGCATTTTATCCGAGACTTGCAGGAGTCCAGGGAGGCCGGGATGTGGAGGTAAGGATGGAGAACATTCCAGGCACAGAGAACAGTCAGGACTAAGGAAAGGGGTGGGGGGGGTAAAGGGTAAGTGTGGGGAACAGCCAGTAAACTGCTGTTGAGTAGTTGAGAGAGTGGAGGGGAGTAAAGTGTAATACTCTCAATTAGAATGACTAGAAATATTCAGGCTCTAAAAATTTTACATGCCGAGCAAGGAACTTTATCCTGGAGGTAAGACAGAGATGTCAGAGTTTATCAATTAGTAGAGTGAGATAATCAGAATAATGCTTTAGAAAAATCATGTTAGCAGCTGAGGAGAGGATGGATGGAAGAGGGAAGAGACTCAAAGTAGGGAGACCAGTGAGGAGTCTATTGTAGGTGAGAGGACCCAAACTAGCATCAGGGCTGTGTGAGTGAAGAGGAAAGGATGTCTAGGAGATCAGCAAGAGACCAGAAAAGTCATATGGTCCAATCTTGTCATCTTACAAATTTGGAAACTGAGGCCTAGGGAAGTTATGTGACTTTCCCAAACTTACATGATTAGTATTAGAAATGAGATTAGACATTAAAACATTCTCCCATAAACACAGGTCACATTTTCCCACAAATATATATATATATATATATATATATATACACACACACTGTCAATGGGGAAAGTGAATGTGCATAGGGATTAGGGATTATACATGCTGGAGCAAGAATGCCTACAAATAGGGAATTTATGTAGAAGAGTAGTTCATACCCAGTAAAGAATATATTTTGCAGATGTTTTGTGATGTTCCCAGGCCTGGTTGTTAATGAGTGAGTTACCTCTGATGGGTTGACTGTTCCACTGGGCTTGCCAGGCCTGCTTTTCATTGGGCGTGACAGTGTCTTTGCTGGGCTTGCCCTTAGTGAAGCATAAAAACAATAACAATAACAATAATAATAATAATAATAATAATAAACATAAACATTTATTTGTTATATATAATATAACAAATATAATATATAACAATATATAATAATATAACAAATATATTTGATCTTCACAACAACCCTGGGAGCTATTATCCCCATTTTTATTAACCCCATTTTTACAGATAAGGAAACTGAGGCAAACAGAGGTTGGGTGACTTGCTCAGGGTCACAGAACTAGCAAATGTCTGAGATTGTAAGCTAATAAGTGTCTGAGACTGTACTTGAACTAAGGAAGATGAGTCTTCCTGACTCCTGGCCCAGCAACTATCTACTCTACTACCTACCTGCACTATAAAGGTTCTACCTTTCTGGGCTTTCAGTCAGCTAGTGGTTAGTGACCAGAACCAGCCCTGATAAGGGTAGGCAGACTTCTGTTTAGTGATAACTACCACTGGAAGCTAACAAAAGCTGGGCAGAGTGCTCCAGACTAAAATTATATCTAATTATATCCTTTTGACCCTTACATCTGGAATATAGATCAAAGCCATTTACATGTTACAGATAACTACCTTACTTTCTTGGCACATATTAAGCCCTTAAGAAATGCTTTATCTATCTACTTACATTTGTTACCCTCCCCACTAGATCCTATCAGGTTTACTGTAAATGAATTTGAGCCAGGACCAAAGGTCAGCCAGGGAAAGTTTGTGTACTCCACCCACCTAGCCCACATTCCTGTCTTTACTATGCGCATTTGTCAACAATAAAGTCTAATTGCTTTGGTACAGTACTGTAAAAAAAAAAAAGAAAAGAAAAGAAAAGAAATGAGATTAGAAATGAGAAGAACCTAGTTCTTCTGATTTCAAAGTCAATGTTCTTTCCACTATTCAACATAAATTCTCTGTGAGGTATGTGTGAGGTATTATGGTAAGCACTCCCTTCTCCTAAGGAACTTGCATATGATTGGACATAAATAATCATTACATGTATAATTAAATACAAATTAATTTCTGATTGGGGCAGGGCACTAGCAGCTGTAGAAATTAGAGAAAACCTTGTAGGAGGTGAACCTGGAGCTGTAGTTTAGAGAAAGTTGGGGATTCTGAAAGCTGGAAGTGATGAGGGATCACATTCCAGGCTAGGTAGACAGTCTCAGCAAAAACCTGCAGGATGGAATGTAGGGTGTGAAGAATGGTAAGTGGGCCAGTTTGGCTGAAATGTTGAATGCATGAATGGGAGGGCTATGAGATAAGCCTTCAAACGTAAGCTGGACCCAGTCAATGCCATTAGCTGGAAAAAAAAATTGTATTTTATTCTAAAGGCCTCAGGGGGTCACTAGAGCTATTTAGAGAAATGGAATGATGAACTTTAGGAATAGAAAATGGAAAGATTGGGGAGAACTGATTGGAAAGGGGAGAGATCTGAAGAAAGGAAGGAGGAAATTGCAAAAGTGCAGGTGAGAGGGGATGAGGGTTAGAACTAGGGAGAGGAATGTGTAAATGGAGAGAAAGAATTGGATTTGAAAGAAGTTGTGAAGGTGAAATCAGTAGGACTTGGTCACTGGTCAGATATTGGGGAAGAGGGAGAAAGGGAAAATTGGAGGATGAATGTGAGATTACAAACCCGAGTTACTGAAATAACAGTGGTGTTCTTGACAGAAATAGAAAATTAGGAAGTGAGTGAGTTTAGGGGAAAAGATAACAAGTTCTGTTTTTGGCATGCTGAGTTTCAGATTCCTATAGGCAATTTAATTGGAGATGTCCAAAAGAAAGGGGTTTTTTTTTCAAATACGAATTCAAATAAACAAATGTTTCATTTGATCATAACAAGAACTTGAGAAGTAGGGATCAATTATTATTCCAATTTTATGGAAAAGGAAAATGAAGCTTAAATGACTTGCCCAGGATCACAGAGCATAAGTGACTGAAGCCAGATTTGAACTCAGGTCTTCCTGTCTACAGGCACAGCACTCTTTCCACTGTACCATCTAGCTGGTGATACTTTAACTCTGTGTGTGTGTGTGTGTGTGTGTGTGAGAGAGAGAGACAGAGAGAGAGAGAGAGAGAGAGAGAGAGACAGAGACAGAGAGAGAGAGACAGAGACAGAGAGAGAGAGAGAGAGAGAGAGAGAGAGAGAGGGAGAGAGAGAGACAGAGAGACAGAGAGACAGAGACAGAGACAGAGACAGAGAGACAGAGACAGAGAGAGTTGGATATTTAGATTTTTGGAGTCATTTGTATAATTGCCTTTACTGATGATTGTTGTAGTTCTTTTTGTTGTTTGTTCTTCATTCTCAAAGAGAACCATAATGAGGGGGGCAGAGGAAGGGCAAAGAAATGGATGAGAGGAAACACTGGTCCTCTGGTAACCCCAAACATGAAACACCATGTTCTCTTCCCTTCCTTCCTATAATTCAGTACGCCACAGGCATGTGGGTCAGTTCACTGCAGTGGGCACAACTCACTCTCTCTTGGAACTGAGTGCAATTAGCTTCATAGATGATGTTGAAGTGGGATCCTATAATAAAGTACACCAGCAAATTATTATCAAGGTACCCTGGACCTCCAAAGCACTGGGAGTCAATTACATCACCCAGAGGCGTAATTTGCTGGTGGATCACGAGAAACATTTCCTCTGGATGATGCACTACTTTGCAAAGAACGACACCAACCATGACAGTAAGTCAGACCCACTCATCTCACCCTCTCCCTTTTCATCATACTTTGTTTATTTCTTTTCCAAGTCCAATAGATCCCTCCCCAGTAGATCATACCACCGAAATGGATGCTGGTTTGGGTCCTCTCACCCACAAGAGACTTCTCACTGATCTCCCTACTTTGAGCCTTTAGAGCTCTAAAGAATTCATCCCTGAGCCTTGGGCCTCACCCAGTTGGTTCAGCATACTGGGTCACCATCTCTTCCTATAATCCTTCTAAGACACCTCTGCCTTCAGCCCAAGAACTTTCACTACGTTCCAAACTTTCTTAATCCATAAACCTGAACTCAGAAGATGGGGGCTCTATGCCCTTGTTTAGGCCCACAGGTTAGGGATGGGCTGCAGCTGATCCTAGTTACAGATCTCCCTCTCTTGATTAGTTGCAGAAGAGCCCCTCCCAATGTCCCTCCACAGGAAACCACACAGGGCAGCTCCTTGCAGACTGTGAAATGGACAATGACATCAAGGTCAACAGCCACGTCCATATAATTTGGGATGGAGAGGAAATTTACAGAATAGATGAAGAAGTTGGACACTGGGAGTACTTAAAGCCTGAATTCAAGAAATACCAGCACATTCTGGAGAGTCCCTTTTGGACCGATCTAAGGAAACTCTACATGAATCAATATTGTGTTGACTTGATGAGGAAAATCGTTTGGTACTCAATCTTAAGGGATAATGGTGAGTGTTTGCTTCTTCCCATCTCCTCCCAGGAGGCCCAAGTCACCTCCATCATACTGTGCAGTAACTGGAGCCCCAGAGAAACAGGCAGGATCCTTGGCTTCTGACCATAGCTCCAACTCACAATGGAAAAATCAGAGAAATGTGAGAAAGGTTGAGGTTCTTTTTCTTTCTTTCTTTTTTCTTCCTTTCTTTTCTCATTTCCTTTCTTTTCCTTTTCTTTTTCACTTTCCATCCTTCTTCCTTTTCTATTTACCTTTTTTCTTTTTCTCTTTTTGCTTTTCTTTCTTTTTTCTCTTTCTTCTTTGTCTTCTTTCCTCCATTCTTTCTCTTTCCTTCCTCCTTTTTTCTGTCTTTCCTTCCATCTTTCTTTATTTCTTTTGCTGAAGTTAAACTCCTACCTTCCTCATCAAGGCATGGGGATGACCTTAGGAGCTCAAAGGCTATGACAGCTGAAAACATACTCTGTCATGTCCTGCCAAGCTGGAAAAACTTTATGTCCAGCCCCAAGAATGATGGGCTTTCTGTCTGCTCTCTAATGAGCAATCTAGCCAAATTTAGAATGTCATCACTAGGAGGCTGGCCACTAGGTAATGTTTAATTTTTATCTTGTTGGGGTTTGGGAGGGCAGTGAAAGAAAAGCATGAAGGATATCCTAGTAAGCATAGACTCTCTGAAATCTTCACCTTTAGAAGGACCCACACTGATGAAATCATAGACCATATGAAATATTCACCTGTTGAAGAAGATTCTGTTCTTAATCCATTACAGCTGACCAAACTACTTAAAGAGGGTTTAGAAAGTTGCTGGTGATGTGGTCATCAATACCAACAGATGTTGACTCTGTAACTGGTGTTTACATAATACTCTTCTGGGTGTCCAAGGAGATACAAAGTGGTATAATCTATCATGCTTCTCTCAAGGGTCTGATGGGTCCAGTGGGTCCAACAGGATAGGGACACTACATTAAGGAGACTGGAAATGTCAATGAAAGTAGACACAATGGAAGCACCAAACACTCACTGAGATTGTGACATGAGGCCTTCTTTCTTGATCTCTGCTCCCAGTGCCCCCTGAGGTGACCGTATCTCGCCGTGTCAACCGAGAAGGCAGCATCATTCTCTCCTGCACAGCCACAGGCTTCTACCCTCGCTCCATCCTACTGCGTTGGGAAAAGGATGGGAAGCTTGGTGTATGGGGAAAGGAGACTTCCACTGGCACCCTGCCCAATGCAGATTCCACCTTCTACCTCCGAGTTACCTTAGAGCTCCCACCAGAAGACTCAGGGATGGGTTACACTTGTGTGGTAGAACACATTGAGCTGAAGACCCCTGCTGTGTATCCAGGTTAGTACTTCATACAGGTATTCTCATCACATCCTCAATGAGACCAGTTCCCAGAGTGGAGTTCCATTCCCTTCCCTCTTCTTTCCTTTAATGTACCCACATTTATATCTATCTTTTCTCCATATAGTCCCTGAAAAGCCCACAAGGGAGAAGCCTTGGGTCCTGACACTGGGCATTATGTTGGCTGTCATTCTACTGCTGAGCTGTGCTGGGATCTTCACAGCACGGAAGAAGAGGAAGAGAGGTATGCATGCAATGAGAGAGAGGTGACAGAAAGGTATTGGATGAGGAGCTCTAAAAGAGATAGCAGACAATGCCATTACAGGAACCTCAAAAACTCGTTGTAGGAAAATGTTTTGAGAAGAAAATCCCAGAATCTTAGGGTAAAAGTGGGACACAGAGGCTATGCAGTCTAAACCATACCTAGTCAAAAAACTCTTCAATAACATCCTGGGCAAGTGAACTTCTCCAAGCTTTAGTTTGCTCATCTGTAAAAGGGGGATAATAACAGCACTTACCTCACAGTAGCATGATACGTATAAAGTGCCAGTGAAATTTTGACATGCTATGTAAGGGTCAGTAATTATTGTTAATTATGGTTTTATTATTGATCATTAATTATTAATACAATTGGAGATTACTTTGGTATTTTTTCTCTTATATAAAGGCCAAGTGACATTGTTGACTTATATTAATCTTTCAGCTGACTAAAATCCCTAGGGTTTTTTTTTTCACAGACAGCTTTGTGTGTGTGTCTATGTGTGTATTATGTCTTATACTTACTGTTATTTTAAATTCAACTATGGGACTTAACATTTGTTGAATGCCAATCTGATCCGATCCAACCTAATAAGCATTTGTCAAGAGCTGATTAGTATATTGCTAGATCCTTGTAACACAAAGGCAGAAGAAAAAATAGTCCCTACTCTCATTAAGCTTTCATTCTGTTGGAGTGACATAATATGTAAAATTCCTATGAAATTTCATCTTGCTATATTCTGCCTGTTGTTCTGCCCTTTCAAGATCTTTTTGGATCTGATTTGGTCATTGGTTTTATTCACAGTCATCCAATGGTGTTAGCTATCCCTCCTGGCTTTGAGTCATCTCCAAATTTGATGAACGTGCCATCTATGGCTTCATCCAAGTCACCACAAATCATGGTGGCTCTAAGTGATCAAACTGCCCCTGCTAGATGCTCACAAATCAGTCACTCATCTTTTCAACTCATTACCACAAATGTTTATTGTGCAATTGTCGTGGTCAAAGTAAGAGGTAGCATGTTATAGTGAATAGAGACCACAACTTGAAGTTAGAAAGACCTGGATTCAAGTCTCACCTATGACACATATTGATTGTGTGACCCTGAACAAGTCATTCTCAGAGCCCCAGGCAACTCTCTAAGACTTAAATGGAGAGAGGTGAAATCTTCACTGGTAGAAGGAGTTCCTCACTGGGATTTTCCTACACCTTTAACCACATAGGTCTGGACTAAAAAAGGGAGAAAAGAGGGAGGGACTCTATACGTTTGTAATGTTTAGTGAATGTTTAGTGTTGATAGTTGAAGTCCAGCTCACCGGCTTATGGTATGAAGTGTCCATGAACCTCCCTTAAAAATAATATTGGGTCATTTGTCCATTTCCAGGCCTGCAGAACCTCACCCACTCACCATCATTTTTCAGACATCACTGTCAGTGACTTGGCAACGAGTCATCAAGGTTTTTCATTTGTTTGTTTGTTTTTGGTACCCTGAGATGTTAATCCATGTCGGTTGACATATGTTTATTAAGATACTCCAGAACTCTCTAATTACCACCTTACACGGGCTTCCAGTCTTTGTTAACCATTTCTGTGCCTTATCACCATGTTCTAATACCATTTTTCTTGGTAGACACAACAGAAACAGTTTAATATCATTTGAAGTTATGATTATGGGTTTTTTAAATGGCCATTTCTTTCAGCCTAATAGAATACACAATGCAAATCTGAATAATGTGACACTTCACTGGATTTCTTATTCACACTGATTGGGACCTAGCTGTAGTTCTACCTTCTCTTACTATCATTCCACTCACTCTGTGAAGTGGTCCCCTTCCTTCTTTGAGCTTTCTCTTTTCTCAGATGTAGTTTTTAAAAAGTAGAAAGCTCTTTATGATTGTGCTGAGCATTCGTCATCAGTTTCAGCTCAGTGACATTAAAATTATCCTTATTTGTCATTGGCCTTCTTTTGTATTCATTTTTACTTACCAGATTCTTCCATCTTTTATAAATATCTTTGGAAAAGCTAAATGGGTAAATAAGTACCCTGTGTAGCCACATTTATCTTTTAAACAGCTTCTCTCCTTTTCTTATTCATCATAATTGTGTTTGTTTTAGAGTGCATTTCATCTCCCTTGATTGAATTTTCCTAGGAAAATTGTGAGCCATAGGATGCTATCTATTGTTTCTCTGAAATCTTTGACATTCACTCTCTCAAAATCTATGATGTAATCAGAAGTAATCTCACATGTATTTCTTTATCTATCATGAATGCTAGGAAGGTGTTGTCACTGCCTCCCAAGTTCCTCATCAATTTTACTTCAACAATGTTTCTCCTTATTTACTGGTCAGAATCAGGGATGTAGAAGAGGTTCCCTTGACCTTGGAAAGAAGTTTTTCATAAAAGAGTGGCAAGAGGTATCAGTGGAAAAACAATTGACCTCAAAGAGATCACAGTTCCTTCGAAGTATTGAAGTGTATCTTCATTGCTCAGTATGTGATTGTTCTTTTAATTAAAATGCCAGAATCATTCTTTCTCAGTGAGTATGCACAGTCTTACATCACTCAACTCTTCAGTTATGATAATGATAACTCAAGAAAGATGACAAGGATGTTGATGATGTAAAAGTTTTTGTAAAAAAAAATGAATCATATTAAGCTGAAAATCTTGGCCTTGAGGAATAAGATAACAAAAACTATTTCCATCCTTTCTGCAGCAAGTTGGGAGACTATGGATACAGTGAATATCAAATACGTTAAAAAATCAAGAAAGAAAAAAAGGAAAAATTTATCAGTAAAGCAAGCATTTCTCATCAGAAAAATCTCTAGTTATTCTGAGAAAGGCCCCCATCAGTAGGATATCACGACAATGTGCCACATTTATATTCTATTTCTCAAGCACATTATCTATTTCCTGTTTCTGCTTATATGGTCTGTAGTGCACTCCCACCATGATACTCCTTGTGTTTCTCCCACCATCAGTCATCATCCAGATGCTCCCAAGCTTGCAGCCAATTGTACATTTCACCACAAGACTGCATTTTTTAGATTTGCAGTACTATACTATCCACTTTTTTATCTTTTTGCTTTTTAAATTAGATTTAACTTCTATTGCAGATATAAACTACATCCCTCCAAATTTCAGTGACATCATGATATTTTAAGATTTATAAATGATAGAGATTTTAGCAATAATCCAGTACATGCTCATTTTAAATATTGAAGAAATTGAGACTTGGAAAGAGTAAGTTACTTGCCCAGGGTAAAAAAGGAAATAACATATTTAGCATTAAGCTTTTTTTACTCAAAATCCAAAGTTCTTTGCACTAAAATTTTGATAAGGTCTAATTTGCCTTTTTGTAAATGTATAGTTTTCCTGAGATAAGAAATTCCATAACTCTTATCTCCATTGTCTCTACTTTTCCCATGAGCATGGTGGATAGCTAGGTTGGACATGGAG